ACAATATGTATTTTATAATATATTGATTTATAGTGATATTTAAATGCTCTGCGCGCTTAAACGAGCCGAAACTTTTCTCAAAGGCGACATCTTCTTTGACTCAATACGGAGCTGACGACAAGGAGGTTTGCTTGTAACGTTAACAGGGAAAACACCGAAAGTAAGTGTTTTTAACCTAATTTACAACATGTATTTCATGACATTATATTGTTTTGTAACGATATTTATGTGATGTGCGCACCTAAACCTTTCTCACAGTTAGGCCTGCATCTTCTTTGACTCGTGACGAAGTGCAGACACGGAGTTTGCTTTTAACAGTAAAAACAAATAGTAAGTGTTTTAACTCATTACAATACGTGATTTATATTGTTTTATGACAATTTTTGTGATGTGCAAATATTAAAAGTATGTATTTAACCTCAAACTATCTTTTACTCCCGTAACCAGCACACCTAGCGTATTGAGAGTGAGGAGTCACGTGCCGATTTGGGCGGGGTCTGAGCCAGTCGGCCATGATGGTTGGAGACGCTATCGGTTGCCAGGAGCAACGCCTTCAGAACTTCACAGAGGCGCGACTAAACATTCCAGAAATAGCGAAAGAGAGACAGTGCAGCTTAGTATTTGTTTACATTTTACATTTTACCGATATGCCGCAGTTTCTTTGGAAGATATGGAGAAGGAAGAGAAATGAAAGGGGTTCTATCGGGAGAGACTAAATAACAATGCTAGCCAGCTTAGAGAAACTGCTTGTCAATAAACTGACAGCAGCAACAGCGAGCAAAGCCTGCTTTCAAAAGCAACACATTTCACCTTTTATTTAACACAAACAAACGAAATTAATACTCTGTTATTCAACTAGAGTTGTTTCATTTGTTATAGATATATCTGTACCGCAAAATGTTTTAAAAAGACACTTTTTTTTAATGACGTACGATTCTCATTGACAGGGGAATGTCCGATCTGTTCGCTTAACGTTGCACGGCAGGTGCAAATGCACGTATCTGATTCATATCAGATTTATTTCCACATATGAATGAGGCCTGAATGAAACATCAAGTATGACTGAACTCTCGCAGTTTAACGTTACAGGTTTGGGGGTTTCTAAGTCTTGCACCCAGCCGCAGCAGACTTGTTCAGCTTCTAATGACTTGAAGCTTCTGAACTCTTGCATAGTGTAGGCAGTAACGTTAGTCACTGATACCATAAACAAACCAGGTAATTAACTATGTCAGCGTATGTGAAAGGTGGTAGTGCTTTGGGTCTTTCGTCCATTCTGTAGCAGGTCGTACGGGTCCATGTTGATGTCAAGTAGTTTCACTAAATAACGCTGCTTGGTGTTGTTATTTAGTCTCTCCTGATAGAGCCCCTTTCCTTTTGCTTCCCCCTTCTTCATTTATTCCCAAGAAACTGTGCCTTATCGCAAAAATGCAAACAAATATCAAGCTGCTCTCTCTCTCTGTCGCTATTTCTCTCGGTCTCACGGTCGAAGTAACCATGACAACGGATAGCGTATCCTACCAAGATGGCGAATCCTTCCCACAATGCAACGCGGAGTGATACGCGTGATGTCACCTTCTCATTCTCAATAACTGAAAAACAGAAGAACAAACTGCAGACCAACAATGCACGTGAAATTGTCACTTTATTTCCTTATTTGGAGGACCAATTTTCTTAGAATGGATAACTAATTCTTTCAGATTAAATATTTATGCAAAATGTACTTATCAGATTAACTTTTGGTTGATGTTTGGTGGTTATGCTTTCATGTAATGTATTAATTTAGCTATTTGTGTTTGCTAGGAGCATTTCTATGATGCACTGAGTGGCTAAGGCCAGAGCCATATAGACCATTTCAAGGACGTAAACAATAACAAACGCGTTGGAATGCTACTGCGCATGTCTGGCCCTGAATCGTTTCCGGTGGCGCCATTTTAGAACCACGGATCTGTGAAAACCCTGAAAACCATAGGTGAAAACAAGCTCGTACTTTTTAAGTCTAGCAAAAAGGCAAGTTAAAGTATTTCCAAGAAGTGAAAATAAATGATGATTGAAATCATCGGACCCTTTTTAAGACTTTGATGCGTTAACTTTTTACCTGAATAGTCGGACGGATCATCTGATTGCGTGTTGCGGCTGCTTTCGTGTACACGAGAGATGCGATAAAAGCATATCGCAGTCTGGATGCTTACAATTAATTTATTAGCGGAAAGGTTGGGAACATTTTTTCGTACAATGTGGATGACATCTGTCTTGTGTTTGGTGCAGATGAAGCAAGTCAAAATAGCGTCAAAAACATACTTATGGTTTGTCCGATGAGGTTACGAGTGGGCATTTCACTTGCATTGCTGGGTTTGTCAGTCTGTATATCTGCAAATATTCATATTTATCAGCACTATTCAAAATACATATCGTTTCAGAGCAGCTTTACAGAACATCCATGTATATGAATGCTAAATGTACGCTAGTAAACTAATCGCTATATGCCATTACTCATTTCATACGTTTCCAAGGGTGTGTGTTTAGTTAGTTGAAGTTTGTTGCTGTGGAACGGTGTGCGAGGGTTTAAATGTCCTATCTGAGCCATTCATGTGGTCACAAATAAATAGAAGGTGAATGCAATTTAATGCTGGCTGTCTTTATTTTCTAGTGCCCGTATTTGCCATTTAAGAGAAACATAGATACATGCAGATTAATAATTGTACAATTAAGAATAAAACACACAGAATACACTGTTTAGGTCCTTGAAGGTAAAATATGTTCTTTTATGGTTTTCAAATAGTCACATACAGATTTGCTGTGTGTGTGTATGTACAGGTCCTTCTAAAAAAATTAGCATATTGTGATAAAGTTCATTATTTTCCATAATGTAATGATAAAAATTAAACTTTCATATATTTTAGATTCATTGCACACCAACTGAAATATTTCAGGTCTTTTATTGTTTTAATACTGATGATTTTGGCATACAGCTCATGAAAACCCAAAATTCCTGTCTCAAAAAATTAGCATATTTCATCCGACCAATAAAAGAAGTGTTTTTAATACAAAAAAAAAAAGTCAACCTTCAAATAATTATGTTCAGTTATGCACTCAATAGTCAATACTTGGTCGGGAATCCTTTTGCAGAAATGACTGCTTCAATGCGGCGTGGCATGGAGGCAATCAGCCTGTGGCACTGCTGAGGTGTTATGGAGGCCCAGGATGCTTCGATAGCGGCCTTAAGCTCATCCAGAGTGTTGGGTCTTGCGTCTCTCATCTTTCTCTTCACAATATCCCACAGATTCTCTATGGGGTTCAGGTCAGGAGAGCTGGCAGGCCAATTGAGCACAGTAATACCATGGTCAGTAAACCATTTATCAGTGGTTTTGGCACTGTGAGCAGGTGCCAGGTCGTGCTGAAAAATGAAATCTTCATCTCCATAAAGCTTTTCAGCAGATGGAAGCATGAAGTGCTCCAAAATCTCCTGATAGCTAGCTGCATTGACCCTGCCCTTGATAAAACACAGTGCACCAACACCAGCAGCTGACATGGCACCCCAGACCATCACTGACTGTGGGTACTTGACACTGGACTTCAGGCATTTTGGCATTTCCTTCTCCCCAGTCTTCCTCCAGACTCTGGCACCTTTATTTCCGAATGACATGCAAAACTGAGCAACAGTCCAGTGCTGCTTCTCTGTAGCCCAGGTCAGGCGCTTCTGCCGCTGTTTCTGCTTCAAAAGTGGCTTGACCTGGGGAATGCGGCACCTGTAGCCCATTTCCTGCACACGCCTGTGCACGGTGGCTCTGGATGTTTCTACTCCAGACTCAGTCCACTGCTTCCGCAGGTCCCCCAAGGTCTGGAATCGGTCCTTCTCCACAATCTTCCTCAGGGTCCGGTCACCTCTTCTCGTTGTGCAGCGTTTTTTGCCACACTTTTTCCTTCCCACAGACTTCCCACTGAGGTGCCTTGATACAGCACTCTGGGAACAGCCTATTTGTTCAGAAATTTCTTTCTTTCTTACCCTCTTGCTTGAGGGTGTCAATGATGGCCTTCTGGACAGCAGTCAGGTCGGCAGTCTTACCCATGATTGCGGTTTTGAGTAATGAAACAGGCTGGGAGTTTTTAAAAGCCTCAGGAATCTTTTGCAGGTGTTTAGAGTTAATTAGTTGATTCAGATGATTAGGTTAATAGCTCGTTTAGAGACCCTTTTCATGATATGCTAATTTTTTGAGACAGGAATTTTGGGTTTTCATGAGCTGTATGCCAAAATCATCAGTATTAAAACAATAAAAGACCTGAAATATTTCAGTTGGTGTGCAATGAATCTAAAATATATGAAAGTTTAATTTTTATCATTACATTATGGAAAATAATGAACTTTATCACAATATGCTAATTTTTTGAGAAGGACCTGTATTTATGTAACACACCGACATATGTATGTAGCATGAGTATGTTGTTACAGCGGTGTTGTTTTTTAAAGATCAAATCAGCTAATATTTGAGGATTAGTGTTCACTTACCGTTATTTCCCTCAACTTATTTCAGGCTAGGGTTGCTGAACATTGCCTTTTTATGTTACCTCATGTTCATTGTTTTCACTAATCTCATGGTAACTAATGTCATATTTATGACTTTCAGATAGTACAGAGACAGGCTGGTGACAGGTGATTTCCAGCTCGCACCGCACAATGGGTCAATGAACTTAACTATTAGCAACAGTAACGTGAAATGAAGCTTATTGTTTACAATTCTTACAATTATATATATAGTAATCTAATTATTTATGTATTATACATATTATATATCTAATGTATAATTCTTACAAAACGTATTCATATACACAATATATTCAGCTTTAAAACAACTTAAGCATACTCGTATATAAACTGCCGTTCAGAAGTAATGATGCTGAAAATTCAGCTTGGCATCACAGGAGTAAATTATATTTTAAAATACATTAAAATAGAAAACAGTTATTTTAAATTGTAATAATATATTACAATATTACTTTTTTTGTATTTTTATTTGAATAAATGCAATTAACTATTTACAGCAATTCATGAATACATTTCTAATAAATTAAATAGCATGCCAAGCATTTTGTATGTGTCCTTTCTTTCATGTTGTCGTTGCATTGTCTCCACCATGGTTTGCTGTGCTGCATGGGGATGCTCCAATCGCTCAGAGAAAGGTGTGCGAATTTATGGCTTCCCCACTGACATGGAGAGGAGAAAAAATGGTTGGCTCAAGTCAGCAGGAGCAATCTAAATAAAAATTACAACAACAAAAAAATGTGTGAGGTACATTTATTTGCACTTTTTCACATGGAAATACCCCAATGGGAATTAGTTTTACTACAAATAAGGACCAAGCAAAGCCTTGCAAAAATCCAGGGAGCAGCTGAGACTCATGGTGAGGGTGCAGTCACATTGTAGGGAGTCATCAGTGTTACCTATAACTGTGCCATCATGTGATATGTACAGTATGTGGGTAGACAAAGTTGTGTGTGGAAACTAAACTCAAATCATTCTGCAGGCACATTTTGAGGCAAACCAATTTGTCATGACAAAAAATTTCAAGAGTAGGCTGAGACCAGATGCTATTCCCACCATCTTTGTGCATCGTCCTGTGGTCAAAAAGAGGAGGGCCCCTGCACCACGATGCACCCCTAGACCTGTAAACATACAGCACATTGCTGCTGATCACAGCTATAGTATTACAGGTGACACATATATAATAAGTACGAACTCGTACTAGTTGAAGTAATATTTCTAATTTTGAAGTTATGTGATATTTTCAATATTTAAAATTAGCAATACCATGTATTCTGCCTCTGTCAGTTTCAAAGGTTGAGGAAAAAAAGGAGAGGAGAGACAGGTGACACTACCCAGTCAGCCAGCAGCCAGTCAGCATACCAGTGAGCCATCAGCCAGTTACCTGGGTCTTTTAAAAAAATTAAAGATACAAGAAAAAATATCAACAAATGTAAAGGCAGCACTAAGAAAAATAAAGAAGGAAAATGCAGCTCTCAAGAAAACAATTAAAATTAGGGACAATTTTTAAAAAAAAATTGTATCAAAAGACCAAATTATGGCATTAGGAAGACGAACCTCAAAAGGGATGAAATGGAGCAATGACACAATTAAGAAGGCATTAAAAATTCGCTTTGCAGCCGGTCCAACTGGTTACAAGACCCTACAGGAATTGCAGATTCCCTTGCCAGCAATCAGAACCCTGCAAAGGAGGATGGAATGTGTCAAATTTGAGCCTGGTGTGTTGACAGAGGTATTTGATTTTTTAAAACTGAAGGTAGATGGATTGGCAGACCTTGAAAGGGAGTGTGTGCTGTCTTTGGATGAAATGGTAATCACTCCAAGTGTGGAGCTGCACATGCTCACAGGCAAACTCTATGGTGATGTCACTTTGCCAGGTCACACAGGAGTAGCAACACATGCTTGTGTGTTTATGTTGGCTGGAAACACCACTCGGTGGAAACAAGTAGTGGCATATCATTACAGTGGTAATTCTACCAATGGAGCAGAGTACAAGCCAATAATTACAGAAATAATAGAGAGGGCAGCATCCATAGGGCTACATGTGCTTGCTGTCACCACCGATATGGGTAGCCCTAACCAGGCCATGTGGAAATCCTTTGGGGTCGACCACGCCAAAACATCTGTGCCACATCCAACAACACCAGATAGGAATCTCTATTTCATGCCTGATGTCCCACATCTGGTAAAAAATCTAAAAAGTGCCCTTGTACGTGGACAGGTGTTAACAATTCCAGAGAATGTGGTTAACCCTCTGGGGTCCAAGGTGTTTTTGGGGTCCTTGAGATGTTTTGACATACTCTGACATTTGTGCTTTTTTCAGTTGCTTATAAACAAATTACTGGCAAAGGTGTAATTACACTCTATTTAGCACAAACAGGGCTACCATAATATGCTATCAACATGTATGTACATGTTTGTATTTTTGAGAGAATATTGTTTATGCGTGGTTATTGAAAAAACTAAAACTTGAAGTTTCTGAAATAAGGCCACAAAACACATACTAAATATGTGTCCACAAGACTTTTGACTAATGGATGTTGTCGCCTAGAGTTTTTTCTTCAAAATGATCTGAAAATCATCCTGCCTTATCATTCACATAAAACAATAGATTGGTTTAAATTTAAAAATGACACTTTTTGTTTGGAAAGGCAATATGCGCAGGGGTGTGACCTGCTGTGATTCACACCTGAGAAGACAATGGGCCCGCATAATGAGCGCATAATGGGGCTGCATACTAATGACCCTTTCATTCAGGTGTGTCACTGAGCCACAAGAATGCAATGACAATATACAGTATATATACACTCACCGCCCACTTTATTAGGTACACCTGTCCAACTGCTCGTTAACACTTAATTTCTAAGCAGCCAATCACATGGCGGCAACTCAGTGCATTTAGGCATGTAGACATGGTCAAGACAATCTCCTGCAGTTCAAACCGAGCATCAGTATGGGGAAGAAAGTTGATTTGAGTGACTTTGAACGTGGCATGATTGTTGGTGCCAGAAGGGCTGGTCTGAGTATTTCAGAAACTGCTAATCTACTGGGATTTTCACGCACAACCATCTCTAGGGTTTACAGAGAATGGTCCGAAAAAGAAAAAACAACCAGTGAGCGGCAGTTCTGTGGGCGGAAATGCCTTGTTGATGCCAGAGGTCAGAGGAGAATGGCCAGACTGGTTCGAGCTGATAGAAGGGCAACAGTGACTGAAATAACCACTCGTTACAACCGAGGTATGCAGCAAAGCATTTGTGAAGCCACAACACGCACAACCTTGAGGCGGATGGGCTACAACAGCAGAAGACTCCACCGGGTACCACTCATCTCCACTACAAATAGGAAAAAGAGGCTACAATTTGCAAGAGCTCACCAAAATTGAACAGTTGAAGACTGGAAAAATGTTGCCTGGTCTGATGAGTCTCGATTTCTGTTGAGACATTCAGATGTTAGAGTCAGAATTTGGCGTAAACAGAATGAGAACATGGAACCATCATGCCTTGTTACCACTGTGCAGGCTGGTGGTGGTGGTGTAATGGTGTGGGGGATGTTTTCCTGGCACACTTTAGGCCCCTTAGTGCCAATTGGGCATCGTTTAAATGCCACGGCCTACCTGAGCATTGTTTCTGACCATGTCCATCCCTTTATGGCCACCATGTACCCATCCTCTGATGGCTACTTCCACCATGTCACAAAGCTCTAATCATTTCAAATTGGTTTCTTGAACATGACAATGAGTTCACTATACTAAAATGGCCTCCACAGTCACCAGATCTCAACCCAATAGAGCATCTTTGGGATGTGGTGGAACGGGAGATTCGCATCATGGATGTGCAGCCGACAAATCTGCGGCAACTGTGTGATGCCATCATGTCAATATGGACCAAACTCCCTGAGGAATGCTTCCAGCACCTTGTTGAATCTATGCCACGAAGAATTGAGGCAGTTCTGAAGGCAAAAGGGGGTCCAACCCGTTACTAGCATGGGGTACCTAATAAAGTGGGCGGTGAGTGTATATATATATATATATAGGCCTATATAATACAAAATTGGTTCACAGTTCCAATTATTTATTTATTTTTCAAATTGTGCTTGCAAATTGTATAATATCAAATGTAAACATTTCTAGTAATTGTGCAGTTAATTCTCATACTGTTTTTACAGAAAGTTTGGGAATATATCCCAAATGTGTCACTAATAAAACACAATACAAATAATTTAAAGAGGAGGCTTATATTGAGCTTTTAAGATTTACCTAAGATTTATTTATATGTAGCCTACATATATTTTTGCTATTTTAATAAAAAGGTTACAATTACAACAACAATTAAAATTAACTATATTTCAAATGTAATCTTTCTTTGTATATACTAAAGTATACATTTTATCATACATATTTCACAGTTGCGGATTAATTAGTTTGAATATAGCCTACAATCGAACAAACACTATAATAACATCTTAGCAAACAAGCTTATTTGATGTGGCAGTATTTTACAGTAAAAACGACATCTTGTCTTTCATATGTAACATATCGTTTTTATGATTAGGACATATAAATGTTAATTTGCAGTTTAATACGTTGCTTATACAAAAATATTTTATTTCAACATATTTCAGTCGATTTTTACTCATCTCAGTATTGGAATATAGTTAGGTAAAAGCTGTTCATTCATTCACACACAAAAATGCGATTCATATTCAAACAGTCTTTTTGTTTACAGACACTATTTCATATCGCGATTAGAACAAAGCACTTGAAAATAAAGAATGTACCTATTCCTCAGCTGGATCCGTTGCTCCTCCAAATGAAACTACCTGCACTTCTGAGGTAATTTTTTCCAGGATTATTATTAAGATAGTATTATTCCTCACAGCGTCGTAAATATGAGTCTCTTTCGGTGGGTTATCCAGCTGATGTGGGCGTGGATCGCCTCAGAGCATTTGTGTTTGAATAGAGCGCGCGCTCCGTGGGCGTGGTCAAATTAACTTTAATGACCTGAGACGAGAACGACTATCATCTCTCTCTTTTCGTACAGATTACATAAAATGAGAACATTTGTTTTTTATATAAATTACTTCATTTAAAAGAAGATAATTCAGGCTTCATGCCTGTGTGCCTGTATACCTGTTTGACTGAGTATTTGCAGAGTTACAGTTCATTTTTCGGACGCGTTTCAGAATGGACTTCACTGACAGAGAGAACGCAGAACGCGCATCATGTTTATTTTTTATTGTGAGGTTCCACAAAAAAATACAAACTTAACAGGATCGAATGATGTACAACACTTATATGTAAGATCAAAATCAACAGAGTAATTTGAGTCTCTTTTGCACTGATAAGGAAAAAAGTGAGCTGGTATCGCCGGCGAGACCGCCGACCCCAGAGGGTTAACAAAGAGAACCTACCTTCCAACGAGGTTTCAGTGGACCCTATTAAGGACTTATTGTCCTTTCAAGAAGGGATGGCATTAAAAGTAGCTCCCCATCTATCAGCTGCAGCCATAGAGCCAAGCCACTTTGAAAAAATGAAGGTTGGTCCTGCTCTTAATGTTTTTAGTAAGGCAACAAGTGCTGGGCTGAAGTATATGGTGCAGCAAGAAAACCGCCCTCTCTCCTACCTGACTACAGCGTGGTTCTTGGAGCAAGTGGATCATTGGTTTGATCTAATGTCATCTCGCCATCCAATTACAGCACTGAGCAGGGTCAAGATAGAGGAGTATGAAAAGGCCATCATCTTCCTACAGGATATCATCCATCTGTTCCATGGGATGAAGATTGGTCATAAGGGAGATGGAAGCCTATTCAAAAAGGGGTGATAATGGCAACAAAATCAGTTTTGGGCATACAGGAAGAGATGCTGACACGAGGACACAGGTTTGTGTTAACTTCAAGGTTCACACAAGACTGCCTTGAAAATACATTCAGCTGTGTGAGGTCTAAAAATCCCATACCAACTCCAGTGGAATTCCATCATGCACTGAGAATTATATCTGTAGGGCAGTTCCTCACAACCGTCAGATCTGGGAGCTACCAGGAAGATGACAGTAGCTTTTTGGCAGACTTCCTGGACACAGTGAAACAAAATGTCACTCCATCAGTCAGAGTGGAACAGCTGATAGTGGAGAAAAGAACAGCACCCGACCTCACCAAAACTGAGAAATGTATTCTCTTCCATCTTGCAGGCTACATTGTCCACAAATTAATCAGATTTGCCAGCATCTGTGAAAAATGCAAAACATCTCAGGTTAAGTATGTAACCCTGGTTCTCTGATAGGGAACGAGACGCTGCGTTTGAGACGCGGTGGGAACGCTCTGCGTGATTGCGTCGTGAAGCACGTGTAAAATCAGTCCAATGGAAACATGAGACGTCAATGATGACGTCATAGACCAGGAAGCTGTAAAGCAACCCTGAAGTCAGACCGCGACAGCTTCTGGAAAGGCTGAAGCAAGTCGATCAGGGCATGCAGGAAGTATGGCAGGCGAACGCAGCGTCTCGTTCCCTATCAGGGAACCAGGGTTACATACGTAACCTGAGACGTTCCCTTTCAAGGGAACTCGAGCTGCGTTTGAGACGCGGTGGGAACCCCATACCCACTCCGCCATAATGACAAATGCCCGTTCTGAATGAAGTCCTTGCGCATCCTAAGAAGTGAGCAACCTAGCCCCTGGAGTGGAGAGGTCTAGGTCATAAAATCTGACAAATGTATGTGGCGAGGACCAGCCTGCCATATTACAAACATCATGAAGGGAAACACACGAAATTAAAGCCTTTGAGGCAGCCATACTCCTGGTAGAGTGGGCTCGAACAGCCATAGGTGAAGGCTGTCCGGCCGCTCCATAAGCAAGTGAAATAGCCTCAACTACCCACTTGCTCATTACCTGTTTGGATGCAGGGCAACCTCTCTTAGGTGACCCGAAGCAGATGAATAACTGCTCAGATTTACGCCACAGGGCAGCTCTGTGAACATAAGCATCCAATGCCCGAACTGGACATAACAGATTAAGACTTTCCTGATCTGGGGTAACAAAAGGTGGAGGATAAAAGGCCTGCAACACTATTGGGCCCGCCACATTAGTAGGGACCTTAGGCATGTAACCCGGCCTAGGGTAAAGGAACGCCTTCACCAGGCGCAAATTCCAAGCATGACGGAGCAACCGACAGGGCTTGCAGATCTCCAATTCTCTTAATTGAAGAAATGGCGAGAAGAAGTAAAGTTTTTAGAGTGAGGAACTTTTCTGAAACCTCTTCAATAGGCTCAAACAGAGCCAAGGCCAGACCTTCAAGTACAATGGCCAAATCCCAAGCCGGTGCTCTAGAGTGCAGTGCAGGTCTCAACCTCAATGTACCACGGAGAAAACGAATAATAAGGGGATCTCTCCCAAGAGATGTGCCCCTCAGAGGGGTGTGGTAGGCCGAAATAGCGGCCACATATACCTTCAAAGTAGAGGGAGATAACCCAGCAGAGAAACGGACTTGCAAGAAATCAAGAACTGAACCGACACGGCAGTTAACAGGATCTATCTGACGTTCACCACACCAGGTGGAGAACAATTTCCATTTCAGTGCATATAGTTTCCTCGTGGAAGGAGCTCTGGAATGGAGAATGGTCTCAACGACCTCAGTCGAGAGACCAGATTCTATGAGTTGGGCCCCCTCAAGAGGCCAGGCCCACAGTTTCCACAACTCCGGATGAGGGTGAAATATCGTGCCCCTTGCTTGGGACAGCAGGTCCCTCCTGATTGGAATCTCCAGAGGAGAGCCGTCTAGAAGGGACACTAGGTCCGAGAACCATATTCGAGTCGGCCAGTAAGGGGCTACTAATAATAGACGGGCCCCTTCCCGGCGAACCCTCTCCAGAACCCCCGGAAGCATGGATATCGGGGGAAATGCATACAAGTGCAGCCTCGGCCACACCTGCACCATTGCGTCCAGTCCTAGAGGAGCTGGATACGTCAGGGAGAACCACATAGGACAATGGGTTGTATCGAATGATGCGAAAAGGTCGACTTGAGCTTGACCGAATCTCTTCCAAAGGAGCTCCACCACCTCGGGGTGAAGTCTCCACTCCCCGGGCCTCAGCCCCTGCCTCGACAGGATATCCGCTCCCAAATTCAAATGCCCCGGAATATAAACCGCCCTGAGCGATAACAATTTCCCCTGGGCCCATAGGAGGATCTGATGGGCCTGCTTGCAAAGGTGACGTGACCTCAGACCCCCCTGATGGTTGATATACGAGACCACCGAGATGTTGTCCGAGCGGACCAGAACATGGTGACCCCTCAGGTCGGGCAGGAAGTATTTGAGAGCCCGAAATACCGCCATCATTTCCAGGCGATTTATGTGCCAGGAACATTGATGGTCCTGCCACAGACCTTTCGCCGAGCGGCCACTCATGACTGCCCCCCATCCCGTGAGGGAGGCATCTGTCGAAAGCGTGATGCGTCGACAAGAAGCCCCCAGCACTGGGCCCTGGGCGAGGAACCAAGGTTTCTTCCACATGACCAAGGCACGAAGGCATTGCCGCGTGACCTTGATCGTGCGAAACGGATTTCCCCCCTCGGAGAAAACCCCTTGGTCCTGAGCCACCACTGCAGGGGTCTCATGTGCAGAAGGCCAAAAGTAACCACGTTGGACGCAGCTGCCATGAGCCCCAACAGTCTCTGAAACTGTTTTACAGTGAGTGACTGGCCTAGTTTTACATTCTTTACAGCTGTGAGAATCGCAGAAATACGTACAGGCGACAGACGTGCTTGCATTGTTGTCGAATCCCATATTACACCTAGAAAAGTGGTCCTCTGAGCTGGGAGGAGCACACTCTTTTTGGTGTTGAGCCGCAACCCCAACCTCTTTATGTGGGCCAGAACGACATCTCGATGTCGAACTGCCAAAAGCTCAGACTGAGCTAAAATCAACCAATCGTCGATATAATTTAATACGCGAATGCCCTGGAGTCTCAGAGGAGCCAGAGCTGCATCCACGCATTTTGTAAAGGTGCGGGGTGATAAACCTAGGCCGAAGGGAAGAACCCGATATTGGTATGCTTCGCCCCCGAAAGCAAACCTCAGGAATTTCCTGTGATGAGGATGGATAGATACATGGAAGTACGCGTCCTTCAAGTCTATTGTGACAAACCAGTCCTCGGACTGAATCTGACATACAATCTGTTTGAGTGTAAGCATCTTGAACTTGAGTTTCTGAACTCTGCTGTTTAAATGGCGCAGATCTAGAATAGGACGCAGCCCTCCATCCTTCTTTGGAACAATGAAGTATCGGCTGTAAAACCCTGACTCTCTGTTGGGAGGAGAAACCCTTTCTATAGCCCCTTTTTGAAGAAGTGTCAGTACCTCTTGTTCCATAACCAGAGCCTGCTGGGGTTCCACCACTGTGGGAAGGACCCCTTGAAAACTGGGCGGACGAGAACCGAACTGAATTCTGTAGCCCTTCTCTATTACACGCAGGACCCATAGAGAAATATCTGGCAGAAGTTTCCACGCTGCCAGAAATTCTGATAAGGGGACCAGTCTCTCGAGACTGGCCTCTGGATTTAGTTGAACAACCATTTCGGTGCCCTGAAGCGGCGAACCGGCAGGGAACAATCGAACTGACCGTTCTACGATCCTCCTCGGAGGATCGTACGGGGACGCTGACACCTCGGTGCCCTGAAGCAGCGAACCGGCAGGGAACAACCGAAGTGGCAGCGCTGCGACTCTCCTCGGAGAATCGCCCCCCGGAGGGCGCCACGGAGAACCGATTCCTCGAAACCGTTCCTCCCTGGAGGGGACCACCCTGAGAAGTCTGACAGACTGACAGTCAGGACTTCTTCTTTGTCCAAGCTCTCTTGGTAATGACAGTCCTCAGATCTTGTCTCCCCCTAGAGGGCCTGGATTGCGACCGCCACCCAGGATCCCCAGATTGTAGGGGAACCCGAGTGGCGACACTCTGTTTTTGTTGCACTCTGTGCTGCTGTGAGGAGCTGGTAGACAGACGAGGCTGCTCAACCTTTATAACACGAGCAGCCTCAGGAACATTAGATCGGCGAGGAAGAAACCTCTGGAGCGCAGCAGACTGTTTTTTAGTCTCTTGAAATCTATCAACCACACAATTAATAGCATCACCAAACAGACTTGTGGGTGAAAGCGGGGCGTCCAGAAGAATAGATCTATCTCTATCTTTTATCTCTGAAAGATTTAACCATAAATGGCGTTCCGTGGCCACCAGGGCTGCCATAGATCGGCCAACAGATTTGTCCGTCTCCTTGGTGGCCCGGAGAGATAAATCTGTCGTGCGACGCAATTCTCGAATTGCGTCAGCACTAATCTCCTCGCAATCGTCAATGTCCTTCAGCAGGTCAGCCTGGTATGCTTGGAGAATAGACATAGTGTGCAAGCATGCCGCGGCCTGACCTGCTGCCGAATATGCTTTACCCACCAATAAAGATGTATTTTTTAATGGCTTGGTGGGTAACGTCGGGGCTTTCAGTGATGACGATGACTCGGGAGAGAGATGGCTCGCAAGCGTCTCTTCAGCACGAGGCATCGTCAAATAACCATAGTGTGAAATACCTTTAATATTACTATAGTTAAGTGTTTGTGGATTATGCACTCTGAAAGACACTGGTTTATTCCACGATCTCGACACCTCAGTGTGGAGATCTGGAAAAAACGGGAGTTCCCGACGAGGAGGTCGTGATTTAGATGGTAAATAACGTTCATCTAACAGACTCTTTCTAGATTCAGTATCAACATCATCAGCTGGCCAATCAATATTTAATTTAGCTACAGCACGAGTCAAAACCTCCATAAGCTCCTCATCAACGGGGTTACGAGCTGGCGAAGACTCGTAATCCCTTTCCATATCAACACTGATGACATCCAGTTCCTCAGAACTGGATAGCCTCAGCATTGGTGCCTCAACCCGGGGAGGAGAAACCGCAGCGCGGGCTCCTTCCTGGGCAGAGGCACCGGATTCAGCAGGTAAAGGTTGAGAAAGGGCTGGGCCCGTCTCAAACCCCGCTACTAAATCCATATGCGAACCCCAAGATGAAAGCCTCCGCTGTGCCTCGGCAGCAGCGGGACCTGCACCTCGGGGAACGCGAACCTGAACCGAACCGCCCTCCTCAAAGAACGCCCGGCGAGAGCGGAGCGTCCTCACGGACAGCAGCTCGCAATGCTCACACTCAGCCCCCTCGAGGACTGACTGGGCATGCTCCACTCCCAAACAAGCAACACAAAGCTGATGTGTGTCCCCACCCGTGATGAAACGAGGGCAGGGAACAACACAACGCTTGAAATCTTGCTTGCTCGCCATAGTAGATAAATATATATATATATATTGAGCTTGACAGACAACAATAAATATGACAAGGACAGATATACAGAGAGCGCTTGCTGAAGACACAGAAGCTGTCGCGGTCTGACTTCAGGGTTGCTTTATAGCTTCCTGGTCTATGACGTCATCATTGACGTCTCATGTTTCCATTGGACTGATTTTACACGTGCTTCACGACGCAATCACGCAGAGCATTCCCACCGCGTCTCAAACGCAGCTCGAGTTCCCTTGAAAGGGAACTGCAACACGGCAAACTGATGACAATCCTGCTGGAGATAACAGCATCTTAGTAAACCTAAAAGAGTTCAAGGCAGGTGCTCTTTGTCGTCCCTCACAAGAAGCCTATGACTTTACCCAACAAATTGAGAAACTATTTAGGACCAAGACTAGTTCCTACCTCATGGAGCTCCCCAATGCAGTGGATGTCTTGGAGAAAGAAGCTCAGTCACTCTCCAGCAGGCTTCCATCATGCTGTGGAGTAGAAGAAAAAATCTCCTAAAGATTTATACGGCTGAGGTTGAGGATAGAGGCTAAAAAAAATACGAAATGACAGAAAAAAACAACACTTAAACGATGGACATCTTGGAAGCAAGAGCCAATCTAAAAAGATGAAAAGGACCAACAGTAGCCAAGCTTCAACATCCAACAACCAGCAAACAGCTCCTCCACCTACACTAATCATCCACCTACCAGTCCAGCACCCAGCCAACATCACTGCTCCTCCACCTACCAGCACTCAGCCAACACTAATCATCCACCTACCAGTCCAGCACCCAGCCAACATCACTGCTCCTCCATCTACCAGCACTCAGCCAACACTAATCCTCCACCTACCAGCACTCAGCCAACACTAATCCTCCACCTACCAGCACCCAGCCAACTCTAATCCTCCACCTACCAGCACTAATCCTCCACCTACCAGCACCCAGCAAACATGACTGCTCCTCCACCTACCAGCACCCAGCCAACATCACTGACCCACCCTCATTAGTGAGATTTCTTAAGGTGCGTGTCTTAATTTATTCTTAAAGGGTAAGTTCACCCAAAATGGAAATTCTGTCATTAATTACTCAACCTCATGTCATTCCAAACATGTAAGAATTTCTGTCATCTTCACAACAAGATATTTTTAATGAAATCTGAGATCTTTCTGTCCCTCCATTGACAGTCTATGCAACTACCACTTTCAAGCCCCAGAAAAGTATAAAGATACATCATTAAAGTACTCCATGCGACTCCAGTGGTTTAACATCAATTTGGTTAAACAACGCAAGTGCTGTGTTTGCAGCAAAAAAAAAAAAAACACTTAATTTATAAAATATTAATTTCCAACATGCTTTCATGAGAACATTACAACTTGTGCATGTTGTTGATGCGAGAGCAGATGTTGGTGCATGAACGTGCATCAAAGATTAATATTTTGTAAATAAAGTGGAGTTAAAATTGTCATAAAAAAAGTTAAACCACTAGAGTCACATGGATTACTTTTGATTTCCTTTATACCTTTCCGTGGCTTTGGAAGTGGTAGTTGAATAGGCTGTCGATGAAGGGACAAAAATCTCTTAGATTTCATTAACATATCTTCATTAAGTGTTCCGGAGATGAGCAAAACTCTTACTGGTTTGGAACAACATGAGGGTGAATAATTAATGACAGAATTAACATTTCTGGATGAATTAAGTCTTTAATTTACTTGGAAATCGGTAAATTCAAGTCTAAATCTAACCATAATAGTTTCTTGTTTGACTCACGAAAGTCTAAGATGATTGAACTTTTTCCACCATAAACTTGCTGTATTTATAAAACACAAATTGTATTAATTGTAATCGGTCTGGTTTTGTGCTGTGTTGTCTAGAGCATTGGTTCCCAACCTGGGGTCGAGTGGATATGCTTAAAATGTTCCACTAATAATTTTATATAAAAATATTTTTTTCAAAGTTTAAAAAAAAATCATATGCTTACAATGCCAAGATAAGGCAGTCAAAAATGATCTCTTATATAAAATAATTTAAATTTTGCGCGCACACCGTCACTTGCCCAATGTGCTTGTTGTCATAGTAAGGGCAAAATCAAAAGGAAAATGGCAGAGAAACGTAAATGCGGTGATTCTTCATCAGAGGCGAAGAAAAAGTTAAGACACTATGACAAAACCTACATAAATTTTGGTTTTATTGAAGGCCAAGACAAGTCTCGGCCAGAATGTGTCTTTTGTGGTGAAAAACTGGCAAACACCAGCATGAAACCAAGCAAGATGAAAAGACACCAGGAAACGAAGCACCCAGAGACAATCGGCAAAGATAAGGAATTCTTAGAGTAAAAAAAAGAGATGGCTCTGTCAAAAAGATCGACAGACATCAGAAAAGTATTCGAAAGAGCAGGTAGTGATTTACAGAAGGCCATTAAAGTTTCCTTTGAGTGTTCGCTGTTGATTGCCAAGGCAAAAAAGCCGCATAATATTGGAGAGGAGTTAATCAAACCCGCCTGCATTAAAATGGTGGAAGGACTGTGTGGCCCGCAAGCAGCTGAAAAGGTTAAATCTGTCCCACTTTCTAACAACACTGTTAAAGACAGAATTGATAAAATGGCAGAAAACTGCAAAAAACAGTTGCACAAAAAGCTTAGAGAAGTCCAATTTGCTATACAGCTGGACGAAACGACCACAGTAGTGGGAGAGTCTGTGCTTATCGTATATGTACAGTATGTGGACGGAGATGAGTTGAAACGGGACATACCGGTACTTATGTCTACCAATTTACCCACAACAACTACAGGTCAGGATATTTTTACGGCTGTTGATTCATACCTCACATCGTACAATCTTCCCTACACAAATATCGTCGCTTGCTGCACGGATGGAGCTGCCGCGATGATGGGTAGAAATAAGGGATTTAACAGCCGTTTGATGGAAAAGGCTCCAGACTGTGTAATTTTCCACTGTATGATACATCGCCAGGCACTTGCCAGTAAAAAACTGTCCAGAGACCTTAATGACACACTGGCAACAGTTGTAAAAGTCGTAAACTTCATTAAAACTCGCCCTACCAACCAGAGATTATTTGCACAACTGTGTGAGGATGAAGCGCACCAAACTCTACTGCTACACACGGAGGTTCGCTGGCTTTCGCGAGGCAAAGTGCTTGTGCGCTTTCTAGAACTGCAGAATAAAATCCTAGAATTTCTGCGAAATCAAAACACACTGTTGGAGCAGCTGACATGCGTTCTGGATCAAGACCGCATACCTTGCTGACATATTCACTCTTTACAATGAGACCAACAAGAGACTGCAGGGCTCTGAGTCAAACATCTTGGAGTGCAAAGAAGCAATCGATGCTTTTATGCGCAAGCTGGAGTACAGGGCTGGAAAAATGTCACAGGGGCATTTACAACACTTTCCACTACTGCTTCAACATTCTGGGGGTACCGTGAGTGCATCTTTGCGCGCCGAGTTTTGCCGTCACATGACTTCGCTACAGGAGGAATTAAAGTCCCGCTTTGCGGATGTTGACACATTATCCAAGGAGTCGTGGGTTATGGATCCATTCACAGCCAGACTTGAAGATGTGGAATATCTTGGCTGTGAAGATGAGCTCGCTGAACTACAAACTGATTCACTGTCAAAAAAGTACTTCCAGGAGAATGGATTCAAAAGGCTTTGGATAGCCAGGGGACCTGTTGTCGCACCTAAACTCGCAAACTATGCCATTACAAAGATCATTCTTCCTTTCAGTACCACCTACCTCTCTGAGACAGCCTTCAGTGCCCTTGTGGCTATAAAAACAAAGTCACGCAACAGACAGGAAGTTCACAGCGATTTTAGACTGGCTATCACTGGCATTACACCTGACATTCCATCACTAGTCAAAGGCATGCAAGCCCAAGGTGGACATTAGCGTTATGTGTTTACGCTGACGTTATGATTAGCCTTGTAAAAAATAAGGATCTATGCATGCATGTAAGTAGGCTACATACATTCAATCCGTGCATATTTAACATTACGTCATAACATTCAGTATTCTATGTTTATACACAAAATCCTGAAAAAGAGAAACAACTGCGTTTTACTAGTTGTGAAAAAATGAAAATATTAGGCTAAAAGGAAACATCTGAAATTGAAACGAACATTTCCTGTGTATTCATGTAATAAAATGTCATTAAAAACTTAAAACTAAATTTAGTTACTATATACAGTGTGTGTGTGTGTTTATGTGCATAGCATTAATATATATATATATATATATATATACGGGGGGAGGGGTCACGGATTGTTAAATATGTACATGGGGGGGCCCCCCAAGGAAAAAGGTTGGGAACCACTAGAGAACCAGCACTCCAGGATTTTTCGAAAAAGTTGGATCTGCACAGCCGTTCCTGCTCTATGAAACTTTACTGTTAGCAACTGGACACAACTAATCCACTCGTTTCCTGCGACTGATCCACTCGTATCCTGCGACTGATCCACTCGTATCTTGCAACTGATCCACTCGTATCCTGGGACTGATCCACTCGTATCCTGGGACTGATCCACTCATATCCTGCAACTGTTTTTCATCTGCTGAATGTTGTTGACTCAAGCACTGCTGTACTGTTGTAGGGTCGAAGGTACTGAATCAACTTCACTGACACAGGACTTACATTCACTGACATCTTCAGGATTTGAAGTATTACAGACCATTTGATAAGCAGCTTTCATATAATTCTGATGACTGAAATGCCTATATTGTGCCTTCATCGTTTATTTTAAAGGTTAACCTATGATGTAAAGGGGCTTGTTCGTTAATAAAATAAATAGTTTGTTAAAATCACTGTTTGCATTTTGCCTTTATTTTTTAATTTACAATGAACAGAATTCTACTATGGTCCCAGAATAAGGTTACAATTTAACTTGGATTGTTTTGAAATAAAGTTTTGAAAGAGTAATATAGAGCGATGTGTTTATTTCAAAGTGAATTTATTCTTTTCAGATTAAATGATTTGTCAGTTTATTTTACAGTTCTTTAATGTAGGTAATGCAGAACCCTAATAAGAAAAACTGGTAACTCCCTTAGTGTTGTTTTTCTTTGTAAAAAGGTGTTCTATCAACACCAGGGTGGTGTAATACTCGACTCCTAAGGCTGTGAAGAATTCCATGATGAATGATTTCCATTTTCTTTTAAAGTGTTTGGGCGACACCAGAACAGTGTAGAATTGTAACTCTGCCAGTGTTTGCTACAAAGCTGCACCCAGCTCTGCAACAGTGTTGTTGTTCTCTGTATTGGTGGTCATATTTTACTCTTAGTGTTCATATTGTAACACTGTGTCAGTGTTGCGAGAGGAAACACTTTTGAAAGTGTTGAGATTTCCGGATTTCAAATTTACTGTTCAAATCCTGAAGGAAAATGACCAGTCCTCATAAAGGTCAGAGATATTTTGACACTACATCCTCCAACCAGCTTCTGCACTGTACAATTTCCAAATTTGCAAACTTCATATAAGTGATGTTGGTCATCTAAACATGAAATCTCTATGACACTAATATAACGCGTATAAAAAAAAAGACACAAAATGTGTATAAATCCTATATGACTTTAATTTGACTAGCATATGATTCAATATAAGAACTTTAAATGATTTGTATATTAATTTAAGTTATTTTCTACTAATACCATATACCATTGCATACTTTTGTCATGTAAAACTCATACAAATCATTTAAAGTTATTATATTGAATCATATGAGTTTTACATGACAAAAGTATGCAATGGTATATGGTATTAGTAGAAAACACCCGATATTCATATACAAATCATTTAAAGTTCTTATATTGAATCATATATGAATATCGGGTGTTTTCTACTAATACCATGTACCATTGCATACTTTTGTCATGTACAACTCATATAAGACTTTTTACAGTATTCA